GGGCGGGGGCGCGGGCCCCTGCCGGGATCCGGGTCGATGCGGGCGGCCGCGCCGGCTGGGCTCTGCGGCCTGGCACCCGGCCCCGGGCAGGACCCACCTCCGCTTTTCGGGTAATTAATTTATAAACAGGCGGTGGCGGCGGAGCCTGCACAGTGGGGGGGCTGCGGGGCGGGGGGACTGTGAGGTCCGGCCCTGAGCAGGACAGAGGGCCAGGGGTGGGGAGCAGAGTGCGTAGACCGCACAGTGGGCCCGGGTGTTACCTAGGAGGGGGTTGGAGACCCGCCCCAATTCCTGGACAGGTCCCACTGCCCTCACTCTGGGGCCTCTGCACGACCCCTCCCCTCACGGGCCCTGCAGCCTTGCTCTCTCGGCAGTCGCAACTCTGGTTCCTGCACCACCAGACTCCCCTGCGTGGCACCTTTCCCTCTCTCCATCCCAACCACTTTTTTGTTCCTGACATCCCCATACCCCTTACAAATGGCCACCTGGCCCCCCTCCCAAGACCGGTTGGTGCCACCAGCGGGCCTTGCGCCGGGATGTCTGGTGTCGGCCCTGCCCCATGGCCTTCTGCTCATCTTTCTGTCCCGGTGACGAACCAGCAGGGTCGGTGGGAGAATGTGCTCCGGGTCTGCGTGTCCTTGGCCAGTGTACTACAGGGCGTGGGGGACGTGAGGGCCTGGTGGGGGCTGGCCTCTGGGTCACTGCTGCTGCCGCCCCCTCCTCAGATCTCCTGAGGGTCCGGCAGGAGGTGGCAGCGGCAGCCGCGAGGAGCCCCAGCGGCCTGGAAGTCCACCTGCCCTCATCCACAGCAGGTCAGCGTCGGAAGCAGGGCCTGGCTCAGCACCGAGACGGCACCGCCCCAGCTGGCGCCCCGTCCTTCTCAGAGAGGTATCGGGGTGCCTGCATTTCAGAGAGACCCCTACATTCCCTGTGCTTGTTTCGGGGCTACAGAGCTGCTGTTGGCAGACCTTATCACCTGGTTTCTGCATGTGAGGTCCACAGCCCGCACTTCCCCTTCGCCGCTGTACAGTCGCAGGGTCCTGAGTGAACCGGGCACTGTGCTCGGGCCTCGGTTGGTGGCAGCCGGGCAGAGGCCCAGAACACTTCGGGGGTAGAATGTGTGGGGGTGACCATCCCTCTGGGTGGGGTGTGTTTCCACGGAGCAGCTGTGGGGCCCGCTGAATCCAGGTGCCCCTGAGACAGCTGAGGGCTTTGCTCCCCCAACAGGTAGGTGAAGGGGCTTGAGGCAGAGGAGGGGGGGCAGTGCGAGGTCTGGGAACCCCGAAGTCAGAGGAGAGCTGGGGGCGGGGAAAGCCCCCCAGCAGCACCGATTCAGACACCGGAGCCGCTGGCAGCACAGGCGAGACCTCCGGGGCTTGTAGGGGCCGGGAGACCCCAGGAGGGGGCTGGGGCGGGAGGACTTCGGAGGCTCCCCGCCCCTCCCGCCGGGAGGCCGCGCCCGCGCCCGCGCCCGCGAGTTGCTGGCTGCAGCCGCCGCCTCCCGGACCGCGGCTAATTGCGCCGCGTCCGCGCAGGGTCGGCTAGGGGCAGGGGCCGCGGGGGCGGGGGCCCCAGCGCGGTAATTACC